GGGTGGCATTTGCTACTGTCCAATCTGCAGGGATCATTCCAGAATTGTGAAGAATTTTGGAAGGTAATCATCAATGACTAACTCAAAGCCTATCTCTTATAGTCACTTCCTTAAACACTCAGGATGTAGACCATCAGATCCTGGGGATTCATGTACTTTCAGCCCCATTATTTCTCCCAATACAATCGTCTTTACTCATTCTAATATCCTTCAACTCCTCGTTCTCCCTAGTCACTTGGATCTCTGGTTCTGGGAGAATTATGCTATTTTCCTCAGTCAAAATGGACACAAAATAATTAGTGAGATAGCAAGAACCGCCGATGTTGGAGTCAGAGTTAACACAGTGTGGATCTGGAGGAACACAGCAGGCCAGACACAGCATCAGAGGAGCAGGAAAGCTGATGGAAGAGTCCTAACCTGAAACATCAACTTTCCTGTTCCTCTGATGCTGCCTGGCCTGCCGTGTTCCTCCAGCTCCATACCTTGTTAACATAAAATAATTACTTAGCTTCTCTGCCACTTCTATATTCCCCATTTTAATATGTCCTGACTCTGCCTTTAATGCACCCCCTATTCATTTTAGCCAAGTGCTTCCTTTTTACGTATCTTTTGAAACTTTTACAGTTCATATTTATATTTCTGCAAGATTAAATTTACAACTTATTCTTCCTTTCGTCTACAGGTTCTTGGTCCTCCTTTGCCGTATTCTACGCATCTCCCAATCCCCTCAGAATTACTGCTGTTTCAGGGAAATTTATAGATCTTTGATTATAATCCTATACAATCCTGAACTTTCTTTGTTCACCATGATGACTGACTTTTTTTAAGTTTGAAGGCATGGATAGTTGCTGTAAGTTACATCATAATTCTTTAAGACTATCCATTGCCTTTGTATAATCATGCCTTCTAAAGTATGTGCTCAGTTTGCCTCAACCAACTTGGGCCTCATGCCTTCATCATTTTTCTCTTATTCAAATTTAACACTCTGGCTTCAGAATTAACCACCTCACTTTCAAAAGTACTGTTCTATTCCTTCACATCATCCCTAAAGATAGTTAATTAGCTATTTTTCATTACAGAATACTAGACCTAAAATAACACATCCTCTCATTGACTCCACAACATCCTGCTTTAGAAAACCCTCCCAAACACAATCCAGAAGCTCTACAATCCTCCACAGCTGTGGTGCTCAGTTGGTTTACCCAGTCTATATACAGAAAGAAGTCACCATGATAACTGTGGTGGCCATGCTACTTGCTTCTCTCATCTCCAATTAACAACATTCCCCATGCAATAACTACTATTTGGTGACCTATAAATAAATCCAACCAGTATCGGCTACCCCTCGCTGTTTCCTAAATACCTAAATAGGTTGTGCACATTGTTCTTCTGATCTGAGATCCTGCCTTACTAATGTACCAATCCCATTCCTTACTATCAACATAACACCACCTCCTTTTCCTTTGTATCTACCTTTGATGAATATCAAATATCTTGAATATTCAGTTGCCAGTTCTGGTCACCATGCAACCATGTTGCTGTAATTGTCATTAGATTGTACCCTTGTATCTGTATTTGTACCTGCAGTGATTGCAATGAGGTCAGCCAAGTGGACCTCATAGAATATGAGTTCCCTAATTGGGACTGTTTATCTGGTTCAATCCGGGAGATCTGCCTGACAGATAAAAACAGGAGTGCCAGATACCCTGTTCGCTCTGAGCTGGATTAGTGTCATGGACTTTCCATGTGTAAATAAAGGGTGACTTGGTGATCGGATACTAGCTTCTGTGGAGTTATTTCAGTAACTTTAGACCATCTATCTTGTTGCGAATGCTGTGTGCAGTCACGTAAGAGTCCAACTTAACATGGATCAGAGATGGGAAGTTAGAAGACAGTCTTCAGACAGGCAGAGCAATCGCATTCTCATATTGACAAACCAGGTGGGAATGTTAAGAAAGACCCAAAAAGTATCAATACTATTTGGGACAACAAAACTGAATGAGTATGATGACTATAAACTGTGAGATACTGAGAAAGAACTATATTGGCTATTTTACAGAATTATAATTATGTTATAGAAATGGTTGAAGACTCTCACCCTTGATCAGTGGTGATGATAACAAGAACAGAATAAACTACTTGCATTCCCCATGCAGATGGCCTAAAAGCCCTCCGCTTCTTCCTCTCCCGCAGCCCCAACCAGTCCCAATCCACCGACACCCTTATCTGCCTAACTGAACTCGTCCTTACCCTTAACAACTTCTCCTTCAACTCCTCCCACTTCCTACAGATGAAAGGGGTGGCCATGGGTACCTGCACGGACCCAAGCTATGCCTGCCTCTTTGTAGGATACGTGGAACAGTCCCTCTTCTGCAGCTACACTGGCCCCATCCCCCACCTCTTCCTCCGTATATCGATGACTGTATCGGCGCCGCCTCGTGCTCCCACAAGGAGCTCGAACAGTTCATCAACTTTCCTAACACTTTCCACCCCAACCTCAAGTTCATCTGGACCATCTCTGATACCTCTCTCACCTTTCTGGACCTCTGTGTCCATCTCTGGTGACCACCTTGAAACTGATATCTATTTCAAGCCCACCGACTCCCACAGCTACCTAGACTACACCTCCTCTCACCCACCTTCCTGCAAGAATGCCATCCCCATTCCGAATTCCTCCGCCTCTGCTGCACCTGTTCCCAAGATGAGGCGTTCCACTCCTGAATGTCCCAGATGTCCTCGTTTTTCAAGGACCGCAATTTCCCACCTCCCCAGTGGTCGAAAACGCCCTCGACCGCATCTCTTGCATTTCCTGCACCTCAGCCCTCACACCCCCTCCCCGCGATAAAAACAAAGACAGAATTCCCCTTGTCCTCATGTATCACCCCATTAACCTCCAGATTCAACGCATCATTCTCCGCCACTTCCGCCACCTGCAATCTGACCCCACTACGAAGGATATATTTCCCTCCCCACCCTTATCTGCTTTCCGGAGGGACCGCTCTCTCCGTGACTCCCTCCTCCGCTCCACACTCCACACTAGCCCCACCACCGCTGGCACTTTTCCCTGCAACCACAGGAGGTGCTACACCTGCCCCTACACCTCCATCCCAGGCCCCAAGAAAACCTCCCACATTAAGCAGATGTTCACCTGAATATCCGTTAATGTGGTATATTGTAGCCGCTTTTCCCAATGTGAACCCTACAACCCAATGGCCTCAATGTGGACTTTACAAGCTTCAAAATCTCCCCATCCCTGACCTCATCCCAAGACCAGCCCCCCTCTCAACCCGCCTTCTTGACCGGTCTGTCTTATCTCCCACCTATCCGCTCCTCCCATCTCACTGACCAACCCCCACCCCCTACCTACACTCACCTTTACTAGCTTCATCCCCGCCCCCTTGACCTGCCAGTCTTCTCTTCCACCTATCTGCTCCTTCTATCACCGCCCCCCTCTCTATTTATTTCAGAGCCCCCTTCCCCTCCCCCATTTCTGAAGAAGGGTCCAGAGCTGAAACGTCAGCTTTCCTGTTCCTCTGATGCTGTCTGGCCTGCTGTGTTCATCGAGCTCCATACATTGTTATTTCAGACTCCAGCATTAGCAGTTCCTGCTATCTCAGAATAAATTGTAAGATGCTACAAAGACCTGTTGCACTTGCCACACACTGTTTAGTATATCCCACAAAGGACCGTGAGTTGACTCTTAATAACAATATGAAATGATCTTTATTGATTGTAACACAATTAATTCTATGATAGCGATTATGGTACAAACTAACAATTAACACTATAAATTCGACAACTAATACTGTAAATCTAAGACAGTATCTTGTACTTTAACTTAACTTGGAATGATCAAACATCACCACACTAGACCTTGGCCTTGGTCCACATGGTGATGGTTGTCTGGTCTTCCTATCCCAGTGGTTCCTAGGGGTGTCTCTTCTTATGGTGGTTGGTCTCGAGTTACCGGTCCTGAAGGTGCTGTTGCGGTGATTCTTATCCTTGAAAGCTTCCACACCCCTTTGGGAGGATCTTCAATTCCCACCAATGGATTGATCAGGAATTGACTACCCTAATTGATCAGACCCAATCAGGCATTGCCATGCAGATGGTGGGGTGATCTTAGGTCTTCCGTTTCTGAAAGTGTCAGGGGCACGTAAGTCAGGCTTCCCAGATAAGAGTGTGAGGTGTCCCTTTGTTCCGGATACAGCTCGATGTTTCCTATTATCCTGGTAAATAGGCTTAGTCAATTGTGTAACGTGCTGCCTGCAGCTGCAGCCTGCCTGTCTGGGTCTGCAGCTTTTTATTTCAGTATCTTTGCACAGATACTTTGGTCAATGCTTGGTGTATTATCCGATTCCGCCATTTTGAGTGGCCTGTCTGGCTACAGACTTAACCTGTGAAGTTCAGATGTTGGTGCTGGGTGGGTGTGTTAATGGTAGGAAATGTTTAAAGTTTAAAGAAATAGTTAAATGAGTTCATGTAAAAGTCGAGAGGAACTCAAGGTGGGTGGGGGACTGTAGTGTAATAACAAAATGATGATGAAGATGTTGATGTAGAGTCAGTTATATGCACGATGATAAAAAAAATGATGGAATAGTTTTTACTAGTAACAGATGTATGTACAAAGAACAGTATTTCATATAATAGTGTAAATAAAAGGGTTTGCAAAAACCTATTAGAGACAGACAGCAGTCATTCATAAGTAAAGGGGAAACCATTACCAGCCGCAGATTACAAAGAAGAGACTGAGGTAGTTATCCTCCCATATGCTGGATAGAACCATGAGCCAGAAGTCTTTAGCAATACAACCAAAGGTGGCCTTTATTTCAATGGGAATTAGGTGTTTGTCATTAGCTGAAGTTTGGGAATGATTAGTTCTGCCACCTCTTTGTAATGTAATCCCGGGAACAACGACAACACACAAACAGGCTAATTCAGAACTGGGAATGGGTTCAGGAACAGAGCAATAATCATGATCTTATTCAAATGTGTTTCAGAAATCCCAGGAAACGGTGCGAGACACTTGCATCTTGAAATAACAGGATTTGTGATCATTCCACTGCCTGTTATAGTCGGAATAATCATATTAGTCGTGTGGAAAAGGACTCAGAGAGGTAAGTAACAGAGGGAGTGGAATGTCAAACTGGGCAGCCTCAACCATCACCAATTGTTTTCCCTAATGAGAGATCATCCCTACTGTGCTCCGGGACTATGGTGACTTCACCTATTTATATGGGCAGTCAGGTCAGTTTCTGTTATGGAGTCATGGAGTTATAGTCATAGAGTCCTACAGCACGGAGACAGGCCCTTTGGCTCAAACTGGTCTATGCCGACCAAAATATCCATCCATGCTAACCCCATTTCCCTGCAATTGGCCCATGTTAGCCTTCCTGCTCCTATGATGCTGCTTGGCCTGCTGTGTTCATCCAGCTCTACACCTTGTTATCTCCTTCTAAACCTTTCCTATCCATGTATTCATCCAAATGCCTTTTAAATGTTGTCAACGTACCCGCCTCAACCACTTCCACTGGCAGCTCATTCCATATGCTTACCACCCTCTGTGTAAAAAAAGTTGCCCCTCAATTTCCCATGTATTCTTTCCCCTCTTACCTTAAACTGATGCCCTCTAGTCCCAACCATGGGAAAAAGACTGAGTACATTCACCCTATCCATGCCCCTCATGATCACATACACTTCTAAAAGATCTTCGGTCTCCTATGCGCTAAAGAGAAAAGTCCTAGACTGTCTAACTTCTCCCTATAACTCACTCCCTTGAGTCCTGGCCATTTCTTCTGCACTCTTCCCAGTTTAATAACATCCTTCCTATAGCTAGGTGACCAAAGCTAAACACAGTACTCCAACTGCGAAATAACTTCCCAATTTCTATACTCAATGCCCTGACTGATGTGCCAAAAGCCTTCTTCACTGCCCTATCTACCTGTGACTCCACTTGTAGAGAACCGTGCACCTGACCTCCAAGGTCCCTCTGTTCCAGTACACTCCTTAAGGCCCTACCATTCACCATGAAACTCCTACCTTGATTTGACTTTCCAAAATGCAATACCTCACACTTATCTAGATGAAACTCCATTTGCAATTTCTCGGTACACTTCCCCCGCTGATTGAGATCATACTGCAATTTCTGTCCATGATACCACCTATTTTAGTGCCATCTGCAAACTTACTAATCATGCCTTGTATATTCTCATCCAAAACACTGATATAGATAACAAACAGCAATGGGCCTGACCCCTGAGACACACCACTACTCGTGGGCCTCCAGTCCGACAAGCATCCTTCCGCTATTACCCTCTGCTTGCTACCATCAAGCCAATTGTGTATCCAATTTGCCAGCTCTCCCTGGATTCCATGCAATCTAACCTTCCAGGGCAGCCTATCATGTGGAACCTTATCAAAGGCCTCAATGAAATCCATAGACTGTTCTATAGTCACCTCCAGGATGCCACAGAGATTGAGGAGAGTCCTTTATGGTAACCTCAGCCAGGAAGTGAATTGAATCTATGCTGTTGGCATCACTCAGCATTGCAAACCAGCTGTTCAGCCAACTCCACTAACTGACACCCAACCCATATAAATACATTGCTATAAGATGAGCTCAGAGGCTCGGATTCCTGTGGCAAAGAACTCACTTCCTGACTCCCCAAAGCCTGTCCATCATCTACAAGGTACAAGTCATTAGTGTGATGGAATACCTCCCACTTACCTGGATGGGTGCAGCTCCAACAATATTCAATCTCGACACCCATCCAGGACAAAGTAGCCTGATTTGGCACCATATCCACAAACATTCAACATGAACCTCCAGCATGAAATTTCATTGAAAGTTTTTATGGCAAAGATGGATAGATATTTGAACAGTAAAGGCATTAAGGATTATGGTGAGCAAGCAGCTAAGTGGAGCTGAGTCCATGAGAAGTTCAGCCATGATCTTATTGAGTGGCGGAGCAGGCTTGATGGGCCAAATGGTTTATTCCTGCTGCTATTTCTTATGTTCCTATTTTGTTAACACATAATACCAATACCTACAGGATGCAGAGCAGAAATTCAAGAAGCAGTCTTAAACACATGACCACTTCCATCTGGAAGGACAAATGCGGATGTTATCTGGGAACACCACTAACCAAGCTAATCAGCATCATGACTTGGAAATCTATTGCTTATCCTTCAGTGTTGAATTAAAATTAGAATTAGAATTGGATTTATTGTCATGTGTACTCAAGTACAGGGTACAGGAGTACAGTGAAGAGTGTACAATGTCACATTCCCAGCGCCATCTTAGGTACATAGGTACCTAGGTACAAAGTAGAAAAATTAGAGTTCAACATTAAAGTCCTTCTCGGTATAAAGTAGAAAAATAGAGAAATAAAGTTAAAGTTCAACATGGTAGTCCTTCTTAAGTGCTTAGCCATGCTGGGCTCGCACTCTCACCTCATCCACAACCCCCCCCCTCCCCCACCACCACCACCACCATCACCACCTCCCCACCCGCTCCCAACACACCACCTCCAGGATTCAAAACTCTGTCACTAAGAGCATTGTAGGTCAACCTATGGCACAGGGACAGCAGCATTTCAAGAAGGCAGCTCACCGCCACTCTGTCAAGGGCAACAAGGTATGGGCAATAAATACAGGCATGGCCAGCACCACCAATATCCCACGAATGAGGTTTTAAAAAGAATATGTTGTCTCACAGGAGAATCTTGAACAAGGGAGTCATTGTTTAAAAATAAATGATCGCCATTCACAACAGAGGGTTGTGAGTCTTTTGAATTCTCTTCCTGAAAAAGGCAATGGAAGCAGAGTCTTTTAATATTTTTATGGCAGAGGTGGTTAGGTTCTTTGTTAATAAGGCAGTGAACGATTATCAGAGACAGGCAGGTGTGGTTTTGAGGTCATAATCAGATTAGCCATGATCTTACTATATAGTGGAGCAGGCTTGAGGGGCTGAATGGCCTACTCTTCCTTGTCCTTATATTCTAGATTTTCCCACAAGAGGAAGCATCCTTTCTAATGCACCCTGTCAAAAGCCTTCATGATCTTGTGTGTTTCAATCTTATTCTTTTGAAGTCCAGTGAATACAAGCCTAGCTTGTCCAATCTTCACTCAAAGGACAACCTGTCCACTCCAGGTTTCAGTCTAGTAAACCATCTCTGAACTGCTTCCAACATAGTTACTTTCTTCCTTAATAAAAAAAGGGGTGATACAGAGGCATATGGTTCAGAATGGGGCCATTCAACCCATCATGTCTGTACCAGCTCTCTAAGCATTTTGACTTAATGCCAAACTCCTTCCTTTTCCCCAAAATCCGGCTCAATGTTCCTGTTTAAATAACTATTCAACACCGTCTTGAATGTTTGAGTTGAACCTGTCTCCATGACACTTCCAGGCAGGGCATTCTAGACTCAAAACACTTGGTGTGTGAAAAGTTATTTTCTATCATTTGCTTATTTTGCAAAACACTTTATACCATGTTCCCCTTGGTTCTCATTCCTTTTACAATTGGAAATTAGTTTTTCTTATCTGCTCTGTTCAGAACCCTCATGATCTTGAAACACCGATTAAATCTCCTCTCCGCCTTCTCCTCTCCAAGCAAAACAATAGTCCAGATGTAGTCTCACCAAATCCCTGTATAAATAAAGCATAACCTCTTTACTTTTGTATTCCAGTCCCCTTGCAGTGAACAATAATATTCTGCTGGCTTTACAAAATTCATTGGCTGAGATTACCATGAAGGACTCTCATTCTCGACCTCTCCCATTGCCTAAGCTGTTGTGACCCTCAGATTAAATCACCACCAGTCATCTGTCTCTAATGAGAAAACAGCCCTATGGTCCAGTGGGACTATGGTGACTTTACTTTTATCTGCATAGTAACCTTTTGTAATTTGTGCACTGGAATGCCCAGATCCCTCTGCATGTCAGAGCTCTGCAATCTCTCACCATCTGGATCATATACTACATTTATTCTTCCTGACAAAATGGACAATATTTTCATGAGACACCATTTTACACATCTTTGCTCAATCACTTAACCTATCAATATCTTTTTGTAGCCTCATTGCATCTCCTTCACAGTTTTCTTTCCCACCTATCTTAGTGTCATCAGCAAATTTAGCAACCATACCTTCTGTCCCTGCATCGAAATTACTTTTACGTGCTGTTAAATGTTGAAGTCCCAAAACCTGAACTCTGTAGCACATCACTCATTACTTCTTGCCAGCCAGAAGATGACCCAGTTATGCCTTCTCTCTTTTTCCTGTTCGCTAGCTCATCTTCTAACCATGATAATACACTCCCTCCTACAGAACAGAAGGGTAACTGGACCCAAAACGTTAACTCTGATCCCCTTCACAGATGCTGCCAGACCTGCTGAGCATTTCCAGCAATTTCTGTTTTTGTTTCTTTTTCTCTTATGTTTACTGTTCCCCATTGTAGCTTCTCTCCTACTTTTTCTCAGGCCCCAGCACATCTTAAAAGCAGGGCGAATAAAATAATAGTGTAAGATACATCAGAGATGCTACATGTAAGTGGGGAACATACAGTTAAAATGCATTTATAGTTAAAACTCTTTATTCTTGCCCACAGTTAAAACTCCATATTCTTGCCCACAGATAAAACTCGAAACCTACAGCAACAATGCCACAGGAATTCTGAGGAAGAACACCAAACAAGTGAGATTCCAAATTTTAGTAAAAACCATTTAAATCATTGTTATATTAATATCCACATTTACACTTTTCTCAAATGTTGCACAGTTGACCTATTTAATATTTTTATTAGTTTCCACGCAACCATTTCTGGAAACGGAGCCCACTCTCCATCAACAGGAAGCCACGGATAATAATGTGGAACTGGAGCTAATTGAATCCCATACATAGCTCAACACTGAGCCTGTTCAGAGAGATTCACGACCTGAAATCTGACCCACTTGGAGGTAACCAAACTCCTAGTGAGCAAGAACTGAGTCTGGTTCTGACAGACAATACAATTTCTGTAGGTAATGTAATTACAGTAACAAGTAATCCCGGTAATATTCTGCTAATCAACTACAAAGAACAGGCAATAACATTGATTTTACGGAGTCACTGTGATCCATATTGAAAAGCTTCCTGGAACTAACCCAGAAAGGGAAGAAAAATCAGAGCCCCAAGAATTAGGAGGAGCTGAGTAATTGCAAGGAACAGGGGAGTGAGAATAATGAATGAGAATAACAAGCTGGTCCACAAAGGGAAGGAAGGTCTGAAAACATTTACAATAGTATTAAAATAGAAGTCATTTCCAATACAGATTTGGAGAAAATGTGGTTTTCAATGTTTCAATCATTGGTGAAAAATGATTAACCACAAGTATTTGAAAGGTAGGACATTGACTCGATTCTGCATTTGAAGGAGAGACAGTTTTGATAAATATTACTGATATATGCAACACACTGTGTCATTCGAGAAAGGTTGGCTGAAAGAACAAGTTCTCCAACACTGTGAAGCCACAAATTATGAATAGGTCCCTCTGCTGTGCTCTCTCACACTGAACATTCTGCATGGGATTATCACCCGTGTGAGGGCAACACTGAAGGATATAACACCTCCAAATGATGAGAAATCAATGACCGGGATCATTCAGGCATTTAAAACAAAACTAGAAGATGAGATACAGATTCCACAGGAGACACTGGGACCTGTTACTTTTCAGTCTGAAAAGATTAACTCTGAGGACTTTAAACAAGAAACTGAAAATATTATCAGAACAAATGATCTAACTGAAAGTGTTAAAGATGAGGAGTAGGACATTGCTGAGAAAATCACTTCTCTCCCAACAGATCCATCCAGTGAATTGTACACAATGTTATGTGGCTGTGGGAAGCAGTGTCCCTTCTGTGGTGTCCTGTGTGATTGTACAAACAGGGAACACTCACAGCACAGCGCTGAGTATCACCGGAGCCAAGGGCTAAATAGATACAGAAGTAATATTAATGAGAAGTTAATTTCAGAGAATTATACTACACCTGTTGCCAGTTTCATAAATAAGGACATCAAATGGAATCTGCTTTTTGATAAGGCCTTCAGAGATCTCAGTGGCCAGAGCAGACTCTGGAATGTGCCTTCTGATAGCAGCATCAAAACATCAGCCTTTTGAAAGAAAGGCAGAAAACATTCAGCTAATCTGGGAGCATCACTGGGGAGACAAACAGTGTTAATGTCTCAGGAGATTATCTTTCATCTAAACTGGGGCAAGTTTGACATGTTATATTTTTATGTAGATGAAATGGAAAAGGTGGGAAAATCTGTGATGGGGCGTAAGGTAGGAGATATAAAATGACAAAAGAATTTGTGTTGCAAAGAGTACTGCAGTAGTACTGAGTAAAGAAATAAGAAGTGAGTCTGCTGTATATGCCTCATGATCACTGTGTCAGTTTTTTTTTTAAGAGAATGTTGCTGTTTCATAGCTTATATCTTGAGGGTATTATTAGACTAGACGGGATTGAGGTTCATAAGGAGGAGGTGTTAGCAATTCTGGAAGGTGTGAAAATAGATAAGTCCCCTGGGCCGGATGGGATTTATCCTAGGATTCTCTGGGAAGCTAGGGAGGAGATTGCAGAGCCTTTGGCTTTGATCTTTATATCGTCATTGTCTACAGGAATAGTTCCAGAAGACTGGAGACTAGCAAATGTTGTCCCCTTGTTCAAGAAGGGGAGTAGAGACAACCCTGGTAATTATAGACCAGTGAGCCTTACTTCGGTTGTGGGTAAAGTGTTGGAAAGGATTATAAGAGATAGGATTTATAATCATCTAGAAAGGAATAATTTGATTCGGGATAGTCAACACGGTTTTGTGAAGGGTAGGTCGTCCCTCACAAACCTTATTGAGTTCTTTGAGAAGGTGACCAAACAGGTGGATGAGGGTAAAGCGGTTGATGTGGTGTATATGGATTTCAGTAAAGCGTTTGACAAGGTTCCCCATGGTAGGCTATTGCAGAAAATACGGAGGCATGGGATTGAGGGTGATTTAGCGGTTTGGATCAGAAATTGGCTAGCTGTAAGAAGACAGAGGGTGGTGGTTGATGGGAAATGTTCATCCTGGAGTTCAGTTACTACCTCAAGGATCTGTTTTGGGGCCACTGCTGTTTGTCATTTTTATAAATGACCTGAATGAGGGCGTAGAAGGATGGGTTAATAAATTTGCGGATGACACCAAAGTCGGTGGAGTTGTGGATAGTGCGGAAGGATGTTGCAGGTTACAGAGGGACATAGGTAAGCTGCAGAGCTGGGCTGAGAGGTGGCAAATGGAGTTTAATGCGGAAAAGTGTGAGGTGATTCACTTTGGAAGGAGTAACAGGAATACAGAGCACTGGGCTAATGGTAAGATTCTTGGTAGTGTGGATGAGCAGAGAGATCTCGGTGTCCATGTGCATAGATCACTGAAAGTTGCCACCCAAGTTGATAGGGTTGTTAAGAAGGCGTACGGTGTGTTAGGTTTTATTGGTAGAAGGATTGAGTTTCGGAGCCATGAGGTCATATTGCAGCTGTACAAAACTCTGGTGCGCCGCACTTGGAGTATTGCGTACAGTTCCGGTCACCGCATTATAGGAAGGATGTGGAAGCATTGGAAAGGGTGCAGAGGAGATTTACCAGGATGTTGCCTGGTATGGAGGGAAGGTCTTATGAGGAAAGG